ATAGGCTGAATCAATTCACCAGGAGATGCCTTTTGGTCTGAATTGATTCACTGGATGAAATCAGTGGACGAACAAATTCCACCAGGGGCTTCTGTTTGTCCGCTGGTTTGTTTCACAGAGGTAGCGTCCAATTTTACTTTGGGAGAAGGATGGCAGAACACTTTGGTCCGCAGACTGAAAACTGGTGCTTCTCCCAGCGGCTGTGTGATACCGGTCTCTTGGCCACCACGCCTGCTCTTCTGCTCCACCGTTCTAGTCTAGCCCCGATCCAGGGTCACAGGCTTGGGTATTATAACGAATTTTTGGCTTCTCCCATGAACCTCCTTTCCACTTCCTCTTTGCCTTCTTTCTTCTAAAGTGTTCTGGCTATTATTTAGCCTTTGCTGGTGCACATGCACTTTAGGATCATCCCGTTAAATTGCACTTGCACCCTGTCTGGAGCTTTAATGGAGATTGCTCTTGTAGGCTGCTTTAGGGGAGAACTGACGTATTTCTAAGGCTGAGACTTCCTCTGTCACATGGCAGGTATTTCTCATCTTATTCAGCTCTTCTTTAATGTCTTTAAATGAAATTTCATGATCTTTCCTTCACCTTCTTGCTCACTTTTTAAGAAGTTTTATGGTCTGCGTTCCTTTGTTTTGGGCTTGCTTTGCTGAGTGGTATTTTTACAGAACTGGGCCCTCTGGTCCTTGCTGCTCTGGACACGTGCGTAGAGCTGGACTCCACGTGTCCTGCGAGACCTGCTGTGCACCTCCCCTGCCTTGCTTTGTGCCCAGGCTGATGCCCACAGGGACACTGGCAAGTGGGGCTCTCAGGAGGAGGAGACTAGAGGGGAGACTAGGGTCCTGCCTGTGGCCTAGGGAGAGCAGTGGCTTCATCCCCTGGTAAGGCCAGAATTTCTGCCCAGGGAACCCCCTTTCCCTGGTCACCGCACCTCCCTGTGTGCGGTGGAGGCCAAGAGTAGTCACAGCTGTCCCTGGGGCTTCACATGCCTTGCTGGGCCACCTAGCTCCGCCCCTCCTTTGTAAATAGTCCACTCATGAAAATTGCACCAAGGGTCATTTTCAGCTCCCCTTTACAGCGTTGATTTCTGGTGCAATTCTGTGGCGTTTGGAGAGGATGCACTGTACAGTCTCTATGCTTTTAAATCCTTCCATATTTATGGCCCACAATGTTCCAGCTCGTTGACTGCCTTGGGTGTGGCCACGTCCTCCAGCCAAAGATGTGGGACACAGCTGGCTGAACAAGGTGGGCTGACTCACAAGGGAAGGAGGCAAGAAGCACGGGAGCCTCAGGGACGGGGAAAGAGGTCACGAGGTGGGACTTGCTATAGGCCCCGGCTCCTGTGCGTGGTACCAGGTTGGCACAGGAAAGCACGGGCTGGTTCTGGCTTGATGCTGTTGGGGAGCAGGAGTAATTCCATGATAGTGCTGATCTAGAAGGAGGAAGGCAGGGCTGGCGTTGGAGCCTTAAGTGCGGAAACAGCAGTGGGGTGTTTGCTTGGGCGGCACTCACGTCAGTTCCTGAGCGGCTGGATATGTGCCCATACATTGTAGTCATGCGGTGGCCTTGTGCAACTTTAGTGTTCAGCTAAATTTCATATTTTTATTCAAATACAACGGCCAGCTGGGAGTCGGTCTTTTCCACTTTCTCTGGTGGAAATGAAGAAGGCCTCCATGGGGACTATAGGGAAACACATGGGGCATGTGGCACAGGAGGAAGCTGTGATGCTGGGTGTTGGAAATAAGGCCCCCAGACTCAAGCTGTCTGTGCCAGAAAGAATGCACTCAGACTCGAGGCAAGAGGCCTCAGCAAGGCAGTTTAAAGTTTACCTCTGCAGAATGAGGTGAACATGGGGTAGCAGGCGTGCAGGACAAAGGAGGGAGGCGGGGTGCGCTGCTGCTAAGTTAGAGCGAGGGGATGTGGGCTTCAGAGTAGATGACCAGGTCATTTAAATCTAAAATGGAGTTGTTTTGCCCTTGTGCTTTGACAGAAAAGGCAAAGCCTATTTCTCACAGCGGGCAGGGTCTCTACAGCAATGCAGAGGGAGGAGGGGCAGCTGTCCTCTGCTGGGTTTGCCATTGTCCTGAAAGGGCTTGCAGTCCGCATCATCCGTGAGAATATGTGGCAGGGGGCACCTTGCATTTGGCACATGGCTTTTGGACCAGGACAAAGAATAAGAGCGGATGCTGAGAGACAAAAAAGTGAGACCTGTGGGTTTGTTTGTTTTTATTTGCTTCTCCCACTCCCAAATCCCTTCTCCAGCTGTGACAGGTTGCAAAATCCCCACCCACCTTCCCCTCCTATAAATTAGTCTGTTTTTTCACCTCTGGAATCTGGGTTGGCCAATGTGACTTCTCTGACCACATAATGTGAGCAAATTTGACATAAGAGGAGGTCTGAAAAAAGCTTGTTCACTGGGGTTTGCCCTCCTGCTGCCGCTGGACGCCCCAGCAAGGCTGCTGAGTAACCACGGACATGTAGTCAGGTGAGCCGAGATCACAGCCTACAGCAAGAATTGCAGTCGGGCTATCTGGGGTGGCCACACGCCAACCGCTTCACTGAACTGACTGGAGCTCCCAGGAGGGCCGCAGGATGAGTTAGACTGCCCAGACCGTCCAGCACAACTGCAGACCAGACGTGCTTGCTGTTTCAAGCCCCTAAACTGAAGGCGGTTTGCAACACAGTGAAGATGACTGATGCACTCCTCGCAGTCTTGCTCTGTGCTTGAAAGCTCCCACAAGCCACACCCCTGGGTTCCCTTGTGCTGGGCTCAGCCAGGGGGCGCACTGGAGGAGACCAGAGCATGGCTGAGGGACCCTGGGTTAATGCACTTCCCCCCTGGGGGCTGCATCGAAGTTTCTTTCTACGCAGCTCCCATTCTGTCCTGGTAAAACACCTTTCCCTGCTCCTCAGACCTGGGTGTGTGTGTGCGTGTGTGTGTGTGTGTGTGTGTGTGTGAGTGTGTGCCTCTTTTCTCCTCCTGCTGTTCATTCCTTTAATGCTGTCCACACCCTTGTAACAATCACTTCATTAAAATGCCTTTAATTACAAGTGCACTTTCTAGGTGACATTTGGCATCTTCCTGCCTCCTGTATGATACAGTACAGGTCTGATTGTTGAGTCACTTTGCTAAATTCTTATTTCTGACCATTTGTAGAGTCACATGGGTTTTGTATGTGATAATTACAGCACTTATAGTCTCGTCATGTGATGGTGTTTTGCTGTTTTCTTGTAAGTCTGTAAGATCTCTTAATAAATTTAGGCTAGCCACCCTGTCATCTTGAAGATGTCTTCTTTTCTCATATTTCCCCTACAGTTGAACACAGTGATTGATATTCTAAATAGACATCAGTCACCTTGGATGGAGGACCAAATCTCCTTTCTTTCTTTTTTTTTTTTTTTTTGGTACTGGGAATCGAACTCAGGACCTCTCACTTGCCAGGGACCTCTCAAATGAAGTTTTATAGAGCAAAATCATGAGGCAGGTACAGCGTGGGTCAAAATTATGATCAACCAATAAGATTGCCAGTATAATTGCTTAGGTAATATTGATCTAATGGTAGCAAGGGTACACGGGTGGCATCATTAATCATGGTCGATAATCTATAGTGTTAATCTTGTCTTTAGTCTTATGGTCTTAGTCTCGGTCTTAGAGGACTTAGTTGTAGTCTTAGTAGGTAGAAGAGGGTGGCCCACCCCTAATGAGATAATGGAAAATCTCAAAAGGGTGATACCAATAATACCAAGCCTCCATCCCTTAGGGAAATGTGTAGAACTGGCCATTGTGACTTTAATCTTCAGATGGGCCTCCAGCCACAGTCCTGATGCATTCTGATTTCCTGCACTGCCTCCCTCAAGGGCCCAGCCCCATCTTACTGCCTACTGTATTTCTACCTAATTTAGCTGTCTATAATACTAGGATTAAGGGTATGAGTGCTACTTGCCCTGAGTAGCCTGAATAAGATAAAAAGAGCAGAAAGACACTGTTAAGGTCCCTTATTGCCTTTGCTACCTTCTACCCACTATGAACTGTTGCCCCTCTGCCATCTGCCCCCTGCCTTGGAGCCAGCTGACTACGGACTGAAACCTCTACAAACTGAGCTAAATAAACCTTTCCCCCTTTAACTATGGGTGTGGGGTATTTTGTCTCAGCAATGAGAAAAGTAACCAATCAAACACACAGTACCCCAATCAAACACACAGTCTTTCCACACCCCCTCCCAGGAAACCCCTCCTGGTCCCTTCAGTCTCCACCCCCATTTGAGTCTTACAGTGTCCATCTCTTTCCTGAAATTACCTATCTGATCTTGCATGTCATCTACCTTTCACCGTGCAAGCCCTAACACCTCAGTGTTATTTAAAAATTGTCAGATAATCTAACATCTGTGTCATATCTGAGTCTAGTCCTATTCATTGCTGTGTCTCTTGGCAGCAAATTAGTTTTTCTTTCCTTTCCACAGACCTTGGCATCTGTTGTTACTGAAAGGTGGAAATTATGTGGTAACAGCAGACTGGGCTAGCTCCTTTCTTTCTTCCTATAACATAAGTAACAGATAGGGGAGGGGAAAACCAGCAGAGACCACCAGGCTTGGGTAAAGGCAACATGGCTCAGAATTTATTGTGCCTGGCAGAGAGTGCAATAAGACCATCTGCCCCAACAAAGAGAAGTGTGTCCCTTTTATAGGGATAGAGAAAAGGCAAGGGACACTAGGCAAGAAAATCCCAATAAACATCTGTGGTCAAAGTTCTCTGTCAATCTTGCATCTCAGTGGGCAGAGTCTTTGAAGAGTCTGATGTAAATTTTCGAGTGTCTCCAGATGTCCCCAGGATCTGCAAAATTCCTTATCCGACTTTAACTCTTTTCCTGTGTTTGTCCATGCAACTTTGGTACTGAGCTGAGTTCCCGGAAGAGAGCAGTGCTTCCGCTGGCCAGCAGGTCAGGAGCTGGGAGTCAGGTCCAGTTGGAAACCTAACACTTCCAGGCCCTGAGTGTGGGAGCTGCAGTTAGTTTAGTCGGGAGTCAGGCTAGATGTGAGGTTTGTTGTGTTATGATCAGCCCCAGTGTGCCAGAGGTTGGGCGTTTCTCCAGGACAGGTCAGATCGTGTGACAGGTGACAGGTGGCTGGTCTGCCTGCTGGTCTCAGGAGTCTTGCTGCTGTGCCGTGTGGATGGGTGGGGGAATATTATAGATAGCTAAGTTATTTAGAAATACTGTAGGCAGTCAGACAGGGCTGGGCCCTGGAGAGGTCAGTGCAGAAGATGAACAGTGGCTGGAGGTGCACTAATTAAATGTCAGGCCTCAGGACAAAGGGCAGTGGCTATACCCATATACTTTCCTTAGGGATGAACAGCAGTGACTGATATTCTAAATAGACATCAACTACCTTGGGTGGAGGACCAAAACTCCTTACCCCACCCCTTCCGGGAAAGTCCGTTGCAGTTGTCTCTGGAGCACTTGCTGCATGACTTGCTTCCCCATTTAATCAATATTACCTAAGCAACTCTACTTGTAATCTTATTGGTTGATTATAGTTCTGTCTGACCTTAGACCTGCCTCACTTGATGGTTTTGCTCTATAAAACTCCCTTGAGAAGCTGGGGTCCCCAGCCATCCAGTTAGGCCCCCTTCTGTCTCTCTTGGATAGAAGCATTCTTTCTCTTCAGAAGTTCTTCCTACTCTTAACCTCCTTTGTCCTAGCATTCATGCTTCAATTTTAGAGAACACGAACTCAGTGTGTCAGACAGCTGGCAGGTTGGGAGTTGTATTCCCCTCTATCTCCCACACTCTCCAACCGCCTGTTGGTGGCATTCTAGTTCTGCATGACTTGCTCCTCCGTGCTTGCCAACCTGGTGGAAGGGGCTGGGGAAGATTCTCTGCTGTCCTCAGACTAAGTTGCGTGCAGGCATGACAAGCCCGCCTCAGGCATTTCAGTATTTCTGCCCTTTCCCCAAGTGACTAAAGTCTTTCTGTTTTTTTGAGACAGGGTCTTACTATGTAGTCCAGGTTGGTCTTTTTTGGTTTCTTGTTTTATTTTTTGAGATAGGGTCTCACTGTATAGTTCAGGATGCCCCGGAACTCACTACGTAGCCCAGGCTGGCCTGGAATTTGTGGCGATCCTGCCTCAGCCTCCTGAGTGCTGGGCTTAGAGGCATGTACCACCATTCTGGACTTAAGCTTTTTTTTTTTTCCCTGTTCCCTTCTCCCACCTGCAGTAGGCTTCCCCAAACCTCTGAGAGTAACAGGGTTAGCTGCTGACTCCTACCTCAACCCCCCCAGGAAAAAGCCCTTAAAAGGGTGGGACTTCCTGCATCTGTGCCCCACTTCCACACTCCCCCCCACCAGCTCACTGCACAACCTCAATTCCCTAACTCTTCTAGCTGAATCCTACCTGGTAGGAGTTTGTAGCCTCCAACTATCTCTCTGGGCATTTGGGGCTGCTGATTGCCCTGAGGCCTCGGTCCCAGGCAATTCAACGAATGTCAATAACTTGTAGTTCCTCAGCCTTGCTTCTGATCATTTGTTTATTTTAAGGCTGACAGTGAGGACCCTCCAAGTTCTACCTTCCCACACAGAAACCAGGAGTCCTAGGGACCTGTTTTGAAAGACAAATAATTGTATTGTTTATTAAACAAAATAATTTTTATTCAAGCAAATATATCAGTGTTTTCTTTTGCATCTGTTCCATCACACCCTCTACTATTTAGAAACCTAAAATATTTACTAGTATGTTGACAGTAAGGGACCCTGTAGCCTTTCCAGTAAAGACCCTTCTGATATTCATTCAAGACATGCAAATGAGAACCTACCATTTGTCCCTGTTCAGGTCCTGTGGTGACATCAGAGAACAAGGCATGTACACACACACACACACACACACACACACACACAGGGAAATGGAACACAAAAATTTAAAAAATGAAACTGCCACAGTGTGGATCTGAAACATCTCCAAAAGGCTTTAGTGTTGAAGGCTGGTCCCCACCTTGGAGATTCTCAGAGGTGGAAGAAACTTTCAGAGGTGTTTGTGTCATTGAGGTTGTATCTGTGAAGGGCACTCTGGGGCCGGAGGCTCTTTCTCTCTTTTACTTCCTTTTCATGAGCTGATAGTTTCACTCTGTTCCCTGCTGTGATGTGCACCACAGGCCCAAAGAAACAAGACCAGTCAACCATGGAATGGAACTTCCAAGTTATGAGCCAAATAAATCTTTTCTATTAGTTGATTATCTCAGCTACTTATTATAATAACAAAAACCTGACAAGTGCAAAAACATGGAAAGTTATATATTCTGCTAGAAGATATCAAATAAAAGAAACGAATAAATAGAACAAAGTGTCAAGGTACAAAGTGCTAGAGAGCATGGGGAAAGACAGTAATTTTAAACAACATGCTCAAAGTAGGCCTCACTGAGACAGATTTGAGCAGACTTGAAGGTAATGAACTGAGCCATGTGGATATCTGGGGGTACATCAGGTTTCTGTGCTACATAACAATTAGGATAAATGCAGTGGCCTAAAAAGCCACACACTTATCACAGTTTCTGTGAGGCAGGAGCTCAGGCACTGCACAGCTGCCTAGGGTCTTACAAGGCTGCGACTAAGGCATGCGCTGTACTGCATTCTCCTCTGTGGGCTTGACTGGGAAAGGATCCCAGCTCCCACAGATGGCACTCGGAATTATTTCCCTAAGTTATAGGGTATATGGATCTCGCCTCTTTAAAACAGCAAGGGGCAGGTCTGCTGGTAAGATGGAGTTTCATAAAACCCAAGGTAATCACGGGAGTGACATCCAACCATATTCTCTTCCACCATATTCTCTATTCCTTAGAAGGGAGTCCCGTTTACACTCAGGAGGAGAGAACTATACAAGGATGTGGCACCAGGAGGTAAGAACCTGGATTTACCTTAGAATCTGTCTACCACACTAGAGAATATTGAGGTAAGTGCTGAACCCAGTATTCAGATGGTCCTTGCTAGAGAAACACATTTTAGGATTGTCAGCATATACAGTAGATGGAATTTGAAGCAATGGAATCGAGAATGTGGACAGACAGATGGGGGAGCGGGGTAACTGAACCCTGAGGCACTCTGGTGTCAAAGGAGATTACTGATGGAGACTGAAGATGTGGACTTTGAGACTAAAGGAAAACAAGAGGCTATGATGTCCTGAGTGCAGTGCAGAGCCATCTTAGGAGGAATGACCACCATATCAATATACAGGGAGCTAGAGGCTGAACCTGCAGGTGCCCAGTGGGAAAATAAAAGCCGGATAAGCTGGCTGTGGTGTCACACGTCTGTAATCTCAGCACTGGGGAGGCTGAGGCAGGAGCTTTGTCACAAATTCGAGGCCAGCCTGGGCTACATAGTGAGTTCAAGGCGGGCCTGAACTACATAGCAAGACCCTGTCTCAAAAAGACAAAAATAAGTCAATGCAAGATAAAGCTTGCATCTTCTGCCTTTACTACCTTAAAATTTTGGATTTGGCTCCACACATACGCATGTTAATTGCTTAGAAAGTGTCTGTCTTACAAAGTTTATTAGCTCTGAAAGTACCTAACCTATTTTATCCCTCTTCAAGACAGAGGATACCAAGATCCGCATGATTTATTTTCAGGACTTGTAGGTGCACCCAATTATCAGCTTTTATAACAACCAATTCCAAACCCTCTGAGTGATGCCTAGAAGTCTCCGGTGTCCTAAACCTGTACTCACGCTCCTAGTAAAGCAAAGCTTCATAGGCTACCCTAAGGTAAGATCACTTCCCCAACAGGAGCAATCCTCTCATGACTGAAACCAAAGCTGCCACCTCTCAAACAAGGACAGTCACCTCACAGGAACCAAACTGCCCCTCAAACCATGAGGATTCCACTGGACTATGAAACAAGGACTGAGTCCAACCCACCACAGCACCGTACAAAACCGATCCCCCTTCCTATGCAGGCAGGCCAGTCCAATCCACCTCTTCAGACCTCCGTCCCCTTCAGGTCCTCCAACTGAAGCTCTTTTCCTACCTTCACTTTCTTTTGTGAGGGGGCCGCCTTGATCTTTGTCAGAGCTGTGCTCCTTCCCCTTCAGTTTCTCTTACTAATGAAAGCTTTTACCTGTAAACTTGTGCTGAATGTCCCCGTTTTAGTTTCCGCTATCATTGAAGCAAGGACCCACATTAGCCAGTGATTGTAAATCGACGTAGGAGGGAACTGAGAATTAACTGACAGGAGTTCAGCCCCGGCGGGAGACCTGGGGACGACAGGTGGTCGCAGTCCCTGGGACCTCCTCCAGCTCCTCAAACCTGAGGAAGAGCCCGCCTGCTCTGCCTCTCCCCTGGCTCCACTCCTAAGACGTGATCCTTGATCTCACTGCCACCTGCTGTTTTCAGCCCCTAAATACTGCGACTCTCCTGTAGCGATCAGACATCGGCAGGTGTCGATCCATTGCTAATTCCGGCCAGGTGACCGGCCCTCTCTGACTCCTCCTCCGAGGCCCCAGAGGCATGGTCATCTCCGTGGTCCAGGGAACAGGGAGACCGTGCTGGGGAATACGCAGACCGTCAGGCAGGAAGCCGTTTCTCCCGGCTCTTGGTTCACGGGAAGAGCTACCGCGCACGCGCCCACTGGACGGTTGGACCACGCCCTCAGGCAGGGAGTACGCATGTGCACTGGAACTGGAGGGGGCGGGGCGGGAGGGGCGCCTGCGCAGTGGGCGTACCGGGGCGGGGTGCGGCGGTTGTCAGCTGACTGAGGCGGCAGCAGTTTCGCGGGGACGACCGCCGGCTACGCAGGCTCCGTGCGGGCGGAAGAGCTCTCCCGGCGCGTCACTGTGGGTCGGCGAGGCGCGGGGGCCGCCGCAAAACTATGGCGACCACTGTCAGCACGCAGCGCGGCCCGGTGAGGGGGCCGGGAGGGGGCGGCGACCTGTGGCGGCGC